TGGGGATGCATGCGTGAATTCCTAAGGTTGCTAGCGCCCGGGACCTTTCAGCTGCTGCTGTCGGACGAGCTGTCGCTGCTATTGCTACTGCTCCTGCTACTGCTGGACTCTTGGCGCGCTTGCAGGTTGTCCCGCTGCCGCTGCTTACGGGCTCGAGCCCGCGCAAGCTTCTTGTGTGCAAATCACGTCGCCGGGCTTTGGAGCCAATGACCCCTCTGGCCGCGCGTTCGATGGAGGAAGCGCGCTGCACACCGTGCTGCCTGCTGCAGTAGCTGTCTCGGCCTTGATCACGTAGGCGTTTCCATTCTACGGGCAGCAGCTCTGCTCCGCGATCTTGGTTTGTGCTGAAGTGGGCCAGGTCTTCTGGGGCAGGCTGCGTGCAATCTTTGCTAGCGCCGAGCTAGCGCGGATCTAGCGCAATGACCTCTCTTACAAATGCCCGAAAATGACCTCGCTGCAAGCTCGGATGAGGAGGACAACGGCGCAACTGCCGAGACGTCCTGAAACCGGACAGATGTACCTACAACAATCCCGTAATCGAGTAGTGCTGCTCAGCTACTCTGATGCTCCGAAAGCTGTGTTTTCCATTTGCTTCACCTCTTCCTTCTCCTTTTCCTACTCCCTTCTCAAAACTCGTTTACTCAAAATGAAAACAACGACGAAGAAGAAGGGGATGTCAAGGTCCTCCCAAAACAAAACAATCCCACCACCCTCCCGGGTCACGGGTGCGCCCCATGGCGCTTTCATGGCTTCTAAAGCTTCAGCTTGAGCATGCGGCATCATGCGGTTCTCAGCATGCCTAGCGCGAAGCTAGCGGTTTTCCTAGCGCCACCTTCGGTAATAAGTGGCTAGTTGCGTGCCGCCTCATGGCAAAGAGAAAAAAAGATGCACCCTCAACGCATTAATGTCAATCTAAATAAACCAACAGACACGCGATTTTAGAACGCAACCCATATGGTTCCCCGGTGTATTGCAACAAAGGAAAAAGGCATAGTTTTTCTTTCTTTCTTTCGCCGGGGCTGTGGGCTAGAGGGAAGCCCCCCTAGCCCGCGCGCTGTCGCGCCCCCGACCGTTTTGGAGGGGCGGGAACGACGCAACCTCTCTACCAAGGCAACGTGTCAGGAAGTACGAACGCACACACCAACAAAGCATAGTTTTTCTCTCTCTCTCTCTCTGTGTATCTCTACCTGAGGGGGCAAGAGAAAGACGCGATCCGCCCCCCCTCTGCGCGCGAACGCGCACCCGCGAGTCACGGGCATATTTGCTCCCTCCACCGTTTGACTATGGAGGGCTTGGCTGTAGACTGTAGAAAGGAGCTCCCCCTCGTTGTGGAAGGGAGGTGTCCAATGGCCGCACGGTCAGAGTTGAAACCAAAAGTACGCAACACAGCAAAGGCTAAGGCTCCGACGAGTGACGGGTTTATCGTGCTTGGGCTGGTTGTGCGAAAACGGAGTCCCCCGGCTGATTGTAACAACAATACAAGTGGCAATACGGTATTCAGGGATATGCAATACTAAGTCAGGGACCAAGATATCGGCAGGGGGACTCCAAATGATTGGGGTTTCTCAAGGCAAAAATTAAAAACATGCAAATCTCCCCCTGCTACATCTGAGCAGGTACTTGAAAGCATCACTGGTCTGAACGAAAAGTTAGGTGGGCCTTGAGAGATCCCCCTAATCATCCGTTGGCCAGACGAGGTTTCGAGCTTCGAAGGCGAGCTAAAAAAGAGATTAAGATTGAGGGCGAAGTGGTCCTATGGTACGGGTTGAACGGAGAAGGGCGAATGAGCCCATGTAAAAAATTCACACCTTAACAACTCAACTAAACCGCCTCAGGAGGCTGCTCAGAACTTTTTGCGCGTGGTTGTCTCAGTCACGGTGAGGTACAGAGTGCTCCCCCAAGTCCAAAAATCTGCACTTGTTGGATCTTGTCCCCCCGTCTGCTTCACTGTCGTCGGTTGCTTTGTGAGATTTCTCTTCTTGCACGGCTGCGTGTCATGTGCGCTTGAACTTGTTGCACATCCAGCCACATTTGGTTGGGGTCAACTGGGCACGTCCCCCTCCTCCGTTTCCTTCTCGGTCGTCAAACACTGCTCTTCTTGTAGGAGGTGGCTCCCCTCGTGATTCATTGGGACGCTCTGCGAGGATACCGGGGCTGTTAAGTTGCCACGGTCGGAGGGGCGCCCGGCATCCCCCCACGGCCACTGGTTGTTGTTCTCCGGTGCCCAGACATCTTCATCGGAGCTTCTTTCCCAGTCAGGCGGGCTGCCCTCATCGGCATGTTCCCTTTTCTCATGCTGGCTTGCAAAGTCACTGCGCTCATTTATCTCATGCTCCCCCGGCTGCAGGTTGGCTGGTTGCTCGTCTACGTTGTCCCCAGCCACAGTCCTTCTTGGGGTTGCATCCCCCCTACTTTTCCGCTTGGTCTCCCCGTGGTGGTAGTCGGTCTTGCTGTGGTGGTACCTTGGCCTCCCCGCATCTTTCACGACGTACCTTCTTACGTATCTTTCTGACCTTCTTCAGGATCTTCTTGGCGTGGCTCGGAAAACGGCATATGTAGGCACGTGTCTGGTCCGCCTGCAGAGGCAGATATTTGTCCACAATGTGGACAAGTTTATCTGCTTGTCTCCCCTCCTTGTTGCGAGCCGCATGTCGTCGCAGGTGAGCTGTGTACGCCTTTGCTTGTATCGGGCTGAGAGCTCCCCCGGTCGAAATATCAACCAGTTGCCCCCCACACTTCTCGATGTTCTTGCTCATCCACTCGTCTAGTGGCCCTGGCTCATATAGGAGGACGAGTCCTTTTCACGTTCGAAGCCAGCCATCTCCGAAAGCGGTCGGGCCGAAGTTGTGGTGGTCCTCCCGCTCGATTCCCTCGGACGACTTGGTGCCACTGGCTGCTCACTCGGTTCCCCTCCACTTTTGCGGGGATCTGCTTCTCACACGTGCGGGTGGCACGTTGGCTTTCGAGGTGACCCCGTGCAGCCTGCACTGCAGATCACTTCTGTTGTGAGTCTTCCTCAGACCTATTGTGCATGTCCCTCCTCCGTACCTGCAGATCCTACACTTCCCCCCCCATGTTGGCATTCATCATTATGTCGCCACACCGGAAAGTCACGATCTTTGACGTGATCGAGTCCCCCGCCCAGTGTGCAGGTACTTTCTGGTCGGCGTGTTGACAAAGTCAGGAAAGCGGTCGGCAAAGAAGTCTGTGCTCTCCCCCGGTTAAAGCAACAGGAAGAGGTTCCTGCAGTGCCTAGGTCCCCAGCAAGGAAGCGGTGGTTCGGACTTGCCCTTGAAGGCTATTGCTCAAAAACTACGGACCTGCGTCGGGCCTTGAAGCAACGTGGCGACGGGTGTGGGATTCAAGCCCCCCCCCCCTCAAAGGAACATCCACCCAAAATTATAGTTGCTGGGAACCACCAGCAACCCCAGAGGGCCGTCCTCGAGCGCAAGGAGGCGGCGGGTTGACTTGAAAAATGGCTACATAGTTTCTCTCTTCTTCCGCCGGGCCCCCAAGGTTTTGATGGGGCTTTCGGGGGGAAACAGTACTCGTACCAGGAGAGACTCCCCGTACCAAACAACGACTCAACGTACCAGGAGGCTATGAAGACTAGGTACTGCAGTCCGGGGACTAGGGAAGGAAGCGGTGCTTTTAGGTAGAGTCTCTCCCCTATAAAGGGCTTGCAGGACACCATTAAGCCGGTGTTTGCGAGGCATCCGTTGGCAACAATGGCAAAAGCAGAAGGATCTCTATCGCTTTCTTTCGCCAGGGCTATGGGGTACTGGGTCTCTCTCGCTGTGTCTCTCGCTCTCTCAGGCAAAGTCGGATGCGCAGCTGGAAATGCGCAAGCAGCGGAGGCGGCTATGCTGCACCTCAGAGTGCCCCTAGCTTCCCAAAAGCAGCACATGATTTACCCTGCGCGTCGCGAATCACAGGAGGTAAGCTCCACTCGCTCTCCCCCAAGCTCATGAAGACCTGCTGCATTGACACAGCACATGCCTGATGGTGTATGCGGAGCTCGACCCACACAAACTATGCCGACATGGAAAAAGAGCAACACCTCTGAGTCCAGGAGATTCCAGCCCAAGTCAAGCCTTGCTAACGCAGGGCTCGGAATGCGCAGTGCCATTTCGCATCTACGTCGTCGCAAAGAGCCACAAAAGCAGACAGGAAGCTCTCGAAGAGTCTGACTTGCCAGCAAATTGTGAATCCATCGGGATGAGACGGAGGCACCTCACAGCAAACGGACGCCAATTAGAACCCTGTTCGGGTAACGCGCGCTTGGCTCGCAGGGTGGTTAACTGCGTCTGGTGCCGTCTCTGCTGCAATCGCTCAGAGACGCCAGAATTCACTGGTCGGTCTGGCTTCTGTTGCACATGTTCAACCTGTCAATACCCCGTGCCGACCCCTACCCCTACCTGGCCCTACCCGCTTTGCAAGCCTTAGCCTTAGCATGTCTCGGTCCTCCGAAGCTAAGACATCCCGCAGCTTCCCAAACATCCGAGGGAGCCCACCTGTTGCGCCAAGTCCGACGTCAGCGAGAAGAAGTGTCTGCAGAGCTGGATGCCTGTAGCTGCAAAGAAGCTTTCTCGGTAACAAGCTGATACACTCTTCGACAAGGTAGCTGCCGTCCCGCCAGATCACAGAAATTGCCAAGAGCCTCCGTGATTGCACAGCGAAGAGTTTGGGCAGAGCCGGCATTAACAGACGCGAGACTTGACCAGCCTGCATTCCAAACTTGAGGCCACTTAGGTCCTCACATCAACAGAAAAGTTTCGACGAAATGGAACGACTAACAACCGGACAGCACTGCAAAGTGGACTCCAAATGTTGGAGTGCGTCGAAAGCTGGCGACTGGCCCTCGATCAGCTTCAGCCTGCAGCTTCGCATAGCGCTGCATGTAGTTGTGAGCAGCTACGCGGCGCTTGTAGGCCACATGCATAGAGCTGACAGTGAGGAAGGAAGTTCCCGTGCATCCTTTCCTCGCGACAGATCGCACAGGAAACACTTTTCGAATTCACAACCACTGCAACAGGAAAACACGAGGCCGCGTCAAGCTGAGGAAAGTCAGTGTATGGCCAGGGCCTTTGCCTAAGGACACCTGGCCGTTTGAAACGAACTTTCTAGCACAAGCAAATGCTGACACAAGACCATCGCTTTAAGCACGCGACGAGAAACTTGGCAACTGCGTCATCCGTGAGCTGGGCATTGCCCTGTTCAAACAAGGCACGTAGGCAAAAATGAAGCATGACAGTTTGAAAGCTAATCACTGGCAATTTCTCAGGCTGCGTGCAAAATGTTGATGAAATGGCCGTTTGGGTCCGGGGACCCGCGCATCGACGAAGCTACTCAGCTACAAAGCTGCCAAACCCGTCCGAAGCTATCAAAGCAACCGAAAGCCCCTGTTGAGCTAGAAAGCTGCGAACCGCTGACTAATTTATGTGGAGCCAGCCATGACACAAGCGTCGGGGTCTGACACTTGTGCCAGGCCTGGCGCCGTGCCAGCGTTGGCGCAAGTGTCGGGCCCCGATGCACGTGTATCAGAGCTGACGCTGCCACCTTGCCTCACTTTCCCGCCCTCCCCTACCTCCATGGTATGTACATGTGTGTGCATATGCACGTCGTATACATGCAGGTATGCAAACATATGTATTACCATGAACAAGGATAGTTTCATGGGTCAGGGTAGGTACTCAAACCAAGAAGTCAAGAACTCAATGCCCTAGGCCCACGACCCTTATGCGGTACTAAGCCCTAAACCAACAATCCCCAAGCCCAAAAATCACCCACAGCATGCTGTCGCACAGCAACAAGCAACAAAAGGGGGCACAGGGTGGAAGGACCAGGGATGACCAGGGTCAGTATACCCTAAACAGCATATCCCCACCTAAACTCTGAATTGACGTGCTCTTAGTAATATTACACCCTTTGTGTTTCGGTGGCCGAAAACACGTGGGGTAGGCAAATCAATACAAGAGCACCTCCCAACCCTGAACCCATCTTAACCCCCAATGTCAAAACCCCAAACCTAAAACCCTAATCGCAAAACCAAACCCTAAACCGTAATGCCAAAACCCAAAGCCCCAAACCCTAATGCCACATCCGCAACACAAACCATCCTAAACCCTATGCAGCGCAAAACCAAAACCCAATCGCAAAACCGTAAATAACCTTTGACCCTTGTGCCAACACCAAACACCTTTAATCCTTATCGCAAAACCAACACCCTAAATCGCCCCGCGAACTAAATCCTATGCCAAAACTCCTATATAAGCCCTAAACCTGAATCGCTCTTCCACACAACCCCGGTGGTCGTTGGCGTGCTGGTGCGAGGCACTTTGGTGGCTGACTCGCTTCGCGTCTTTTTCGCTTTGGCAGCTTCGTAGCTTCTGGTAGCCTAGCTCGCGGCCAGTTCGACAATTTTGATATCGCATGCACGGCTTGTGTGTAAGAGGAAGCACAGCTGAAAATATGATTAAGTTACTGCTCGGGGTATCATGCTCAGCTTGCACTAGTACGAGTATAGCTTCCTACTTGATTGCGCGATTCTGCTGAACTACGTCGACCTACATTTGTGCCTCTAGGTCGACTGACTCGACCTTGGAGAGAGCAGCGATGGCGACGCGGCTCGCTTCCAGCTCGTCATCTGTGAGGCCCTGAAAGGTTCTGACAACGCAAACCTGCTAAACACGCCCAACTCGTGAACTTCGCCTGATGCCGTGCATCGAGCTTGGAAGAGTGGCCTGTCAGTATTGGCGCTGGCCTGGCGGACTGGAGCGGATGGTAGCAGTTCAAGCATTTGGGCAACGGCTGTGGGCCTTGGCAGCACTTTCTGATTCTCGCAAACCTGTTCGCCCACATGCGGCAACTCCATCTGTACATGCCCGCACCTGAAGGCCTGAAGATACAGCATAGACGTGGAGTCCTGCATGTCAAGTTCAAGGCTGCGCCCCACAGACATGTTCAAACCCTACAGCATCAAGTAGGTACCCAACAGCGCTGGAAGGGAGGCAACGTGCAAAACAAAATTAATCATTGCGGAGCGAATGCATCCTTCAACTCACGAAGGGCGCAAGCGGAAGCTGGCCTGAAAAAGCAGACTTCAAGTGGATTTGGCTTCTTATCACGGTCCCACAGGCGGCCTTTTGAGCACTGGAGACACATCTGGCACGGAGGGCTTGCCCCTGACGGACGGCCTCCGGCACCTGAATATTCAGGTGTGCACGATTCCATAATCCGGATGCACCGCGTTCAATAAACTGGGAAACGCCTTGGGCCGCTGGGACTCCGCATGGAGAGGTGGTCCTGCGCACTGCAGTATTTCCAGGTGTGGACCATCACGAAAGCATTAAAGCGTGGCCTTGAGCTCGCGCTGCAAACCTCAGCCATGGGAGCGTCGTAAGGACATTCCGTTGTGGCCATCACATGGCCTCATCCTGTAAGGGTCCCTGCTTCCTTGATCCAGGATGCTGCTCGGCTCCGGTTCAGACCTTCCTTCTTTCGCGGCCCTGCCGGGTGATGAGAAGATCGGAACAGCTCGGCACTCTGACAAATCTCCGATGCCTGGTTTCGTATCCGATGCTTCCGAGGCCAAGGTCTGCCCAGCCTTGACATCGCACTTTGAACTTCGGAATTCCGCCATGCTGGTGCTGAACACCCAAGTGAAAGGCTTTGGATGTTCCCGTCCTTGAGCAGATCAGCTGGCTTCAAGGCCTGGAACAGCCAAAGTTGCACGACGCTGTAGCTGGGCAGCGGTGGAAGACTGACAGTATTGAGCTGTCCTGCTTGCTCCCGTGGGATCTCTTTCGGTTCGGCGTTCTGCTATGTGCATTTGGCAGTGCCTGTACTGCAAGGAATTCGGCACATCACCTTGTCACTGTTGTCCAAGGACACTGTGTGATACTGTATGCACACTCAGGGCCTCCGCTGGTGACTTCGATCTGCGTGGTGCCAGTGACCTTGATTGGCCTCCTTTGCCCAGTTGAGGCCTGATCGTTGCACAAGGCTGGCAGATCACCATGAGAGACCTCAACAGCCTCCGTATCATCATGTGCCGCAGCTTCTTGCAAGTCGAGTCAGGAACTGCCACGTTGTCCAGCAACTCCTATCCGTGTTGCTTGGAAAGTAGCCAGACGAGACTGATTTAGCAAAGGTCCTGCCACCGCCGGGTGGGAGACTGCTCTTTTCGGATCTGATGCTGTGAGGGCACCTCCGTGTGCTGCAAAAGTAGACCGCTGTCAGTTCAACGCTCGCGTGCGCTGAGGCCTTACATTGGAATCAAAAGATCTGAAGATATCTGACTATTGAACACTTCGGACTCAATGGAAGGCATAAAGCTGACAGTGGGCCGAGTTACAGGCGGCACAAGTGCTGGGGCTGCGGGGCGAGGGAGGAAGGGGCTGCTTGAAAGCTGGGCGATCCATGTAAACGGAACAGTGTCACCTGTCACACTAGTCGAAGACGGACACTGTCAGACTAGGCTGCTGTGGCATGCCACTTTTTGTCGGTGAAGAGACATTCAGGGCAGCGTCAGGACCTGGGCAAATGCCCTGCGACTCATAAAACTCACCCCGGGAACTCAAGATGTCTTCGTGCTCCAGCTCGGCTTTAGGCTTACTGAACATGACTGGAAAGCCTCGTTGCATGTCATTGCAAGGCTTATGCGTCTGACTACTGCCCGTGGCTTAGCTCAGATACCCGTGAACCCAAAACTAGTCCTACAACTAGTTGGAGACAAGGTGCAGCCTCAGTCGGGGAGCGCGTGCAGCGGCCGGCCCTGCTCCTGTGCTTTTGACCGCGCGATGCTTTTTTTGTCACGCTGTCCTTACTGATTCTTGTTCCGACTCACGCAGGCATAACATAACATGTCCGTGTTACGGGCTGGTGACGTCTGCTGGCCGGCAGGAAGGAAAGTGAAACGATCGACGCTGGCCAATCTCTGCAGCACTCCAACCGAAGTTGGAATGAGAAAGCAACAAAGCCTCCGTTTCAAACGCCAGGATCCACCATACAGCCCATGACTGGTAAATAGCATCCACATCTGGAGACGATCTGTCGATGTGTGTCGGCCTCTCCTCAACATACAACACCTTGCCCACTGAGTGAAAACTTGACACACCTGGATGGTTGCGCACCTTCAGGGTATCTGCAGCTAGCAACCATGCCGTGTCTCCTGGTAGTGCCATATGGGATTCAACTGCTGCAGCACAGGTCAATGCTAGATCGAGATCTGAAAGCGAATGCCTTGCAGGATCTGACCATGTGGTTTCGTTCCCAGCGCGGAAATGAATTCCAATGAGCGGCCGGCTGCCGAGCCTGCGGATAAAGTCCTTGACGATCGCACCGGGTGCTGCTGCCAAGTCAAACAAGTGAAGAAACAAACCCGACAGAAGCCCCGAGCGGGCAAACTCTTTGGAACTGTCATGTCGCAACAGAACACGAAGAAGTCTGACGTTGGAAACTATGCAAAGTGTTTCAGAGTCATCCTGGAAGAAGCGGGACACATCCTGCTCGAAAGTTTTTGGATCCTCTGCTGATGTCCATCGGTAAGTCTTGCAGGACGATGTGACTGCAGGCCACGATTGTTTAGGAGACAGCACGCTGGCCAATAGTATTGGTGCACGCATGTCGATGTAAAAGATTCGCTTTGACAGCGTGGCGGCTAAGAAGGCGGACAGCAGTCCGAACAAACGATCTCCGTGCCCACCGCAGAAAGTCGTGTGCAAACATACAAAGACCAGCACCTTGCTGCTGCCATTGCTAGTGTTAGATGATTCCAGCAGCCTCGCATCGAAGTTGGGCATGACAGGGGCGAGTGAAAATCCGTCAGGAAGTGCCGTCCGTGTCGTGCCTGGGTGTCCAAGAAGGCCCGATACACGTTCCAGTTGTATCGGTGATGGTATTGTGTTTGCAAAAAGTCGGATTGAAGATGCTGGCAACATGACTGATGTTGGCTCGAAGCCGTAATCAAACTTGCGCCAAATACTCGCACAGTCTTCTTTACCTACTGTGACGATATCGAGCTTGGGAAACGATAACGAGCTACACCCACGAACAAGAACTGCAGCACGAGGAGTCTCCACAGAGCGTGGCACAGGGATGTCGGGAATGCGAGCACTTACCGACTGCTCGACTTCAGCAATTGGCAGTCGTTTTCCGTGATGCTGCAAGACAAATGTTAAAGCCTGGAACTCACCGGCTGGTGCCGTTAAAGCCATCGCAATCGACTCCGCCCATTGGTGCAGCGCGAAAAAGCCACCGGGACGTACCGAAACATCCACTGCGAAAGCGGTGCTATTGATGGCGCTCTTCCAAAAACTGGGCATGCCTGGTGTCCAAGCAGGCATGCCCGCTCGCAATTGGCCCATGCGCTGCATCACAGCTTCTAAATCACGCCTGAAAACCCGGGCAATCTGGTCAGATCGCAAGACCTCCGATGCCCAGCAGAGCTGGCAGGAAATATCTTGAAGGCCAAACCTCAAAACCTCCAGTCCACCTATTGCTAGTACTCGTGCCTCGTCGAATGCATACCTCAAGTACTTCAAGGCCCCGCCGGCATCTGCTTCGAAAAAGGTTGCCGTTTGTTGTGGTGAAGTTAATTCATCCATTTGATCTGCAGCATCGTTTAACGCCCTCTTGCGATACGCGAGAACTCTTTCCACGTGCTCCCTGAGCTCTACCAGTTCATCTCCACAACAGAAGAGGCTCTGATTCACGTGTGGTAAGCATCCAAAGTGCCAATCGCCTTGCAGGTAGTATGAGTTGGCTTGCGAGCACCACGGCAGCCATGGAGTGAAACCATGATCATGCATTCTGAAGATGCCTGCATGCTCCTAAGCCTGACCTTCGCGATTCCACATCGGCTTTCCGCATTCACTCCATGCTTCACACATGAATACCCATGATGCATCCGTGGAACATCGTCTCACGACAGGTCCTGGCTGCTCGGGTCTTCCAATCTGCCGGCCCCTGCAATCCCTGCACTCAACTACCAGCATCTGCCAGCAGGTCGCACAGTCTCATGCTGCATGTCTCAGCCGCGGTCCAACTGCTGCAGTCGACCTGCGCATCGCGAAGGCCTCGGTGACCAGCGACGATCTGTCGAGGCTGCAACGGCTTCGGCATGCAGTGAACTTTCTCTCTGACTTCGAAATCGACTCTTTCTTCAAGCTCAAGCTGAAAGCTTCTGGCGAATCCTTCGTGTCAGACGCCAACTCTGCCTCTCTGAGAGGGAAAGGCTTCTCCTAGGGACCGCCTCTTTCCCTGCCTAGCCAAGCGGCCCGAACATCCCTGAGCGTTCCCAATTCATCCCAATTCAGCCGCCTCAATCACCGCAGAGGGCACCAGCTCTGCCAGGTCCTCCGAATGCCGGCAGACTTGATGATACCTCGCAATGTCTGAAAGCGCACAGAGAAGCCCTCAATGTGACTTTCTTGCTTGGCTGCGGCAAGGCTGTGCTCTCTTCTTCATTCTGTGGGAGGCCAGCTTTCGCGGAACGACGATGTGAAACAGGCTGCCGTCAAGACTATGAGGACTAGACGTGACTGGGCCCTTCCCAGTGTCCCAGTGTCTTGGGCTTTCTCCACGATCCGTCTTTCCGATGTACGGACGAGGGTTCAACTCTGCCTCTACTCAGGTTCACGTTCTGGCACGCCACGATTCCGTTGGGAGTAGGACAACGCATCGAATTCTGCACGTCCCTCCCGAACCCGCTTTCCACTGTTGCGTTCTGCATGCAGCCGCCGCTGCTACAAGTGCCCCGGCCCACCGCCCTGGGGTCGTCCAAATCCAAACGTGTCATCGGATGGAGCGGTGGTCCGTCCTGCATCCTGCTCGGGATGCACGCTTGCAACCTCAACAACTCCTTCCGCCACTCTGGGTCCCACTGCCGACGTCAATGCCCCTTTGGAAGCAAAAGACTGGCGTGGGGATAACGACAAAGTAATTGCAGCTGTTCAATCGCAGCCCAAAGCTCCTTCAAATACCAGGTACCTCTAGAGAGGCCCTCAACATGACGTGCAAATCACCCCACACCATACAACCACATATAGTTGCAATCGCGATGGTTCGACTCGGAAGCCATTTCAGGCACACAAAGACCGGCAAATTTCAGCCTTTAACCTGAGCCAACGGTGCCACATCCCGATGTGCTATAGCTTCACACTTCTTGGCAGCCTGTCTTAACCTGGCTTTAATATCTGCGCGCAGCTGCTTGATGCAGTAGTTTCTACCAAGGTGCTTCGGCCAGAAGTCTTGATGCCTGACGCAACGAAGGACTCTTGTGCTGGGTCCAGAACTTGAACAGAGCACGTCTGAGACAAACCCCTTGGCCTCTCCAGCTTCGACTCCAAGCTTTCCTTGCTTGAATGTCAGCGAGAGGGCCGGATGTCCGGACTCACGGCAAAACCGAGTCAAGTGCAGCAAGGACTCTCTGTTCTCCAGTATGCGATGAGCTTGCAGTGTTTCTATGATGAAGCGACGGCGCCAGCTAGCTTCGCTTTCATCCTGCACTCGCGCATCTTGTTGTGAGCTCTTTGCAAAGCAACTGTTTTCCATCGCCTTGAGAAGTGCCGCCTGGCGCTTCAGCTCCACGATCCTCTCGACCTGCCACTCCGAAAGGCTGAACCGAGGCCTCTCCAGCCTTCAGCCACGCCTGCTGACGGAAGCGACTGAGGGGCTCCTGAACCTCCGTGCCTCAAGCAGACTCTTCTCTGTCTCCTTTCACCAGGCCCGGCCCGTGGCCTTCTCTTGCTTACTATTTGTATATTGAAGAAGGAGGCCCTAGGAGACCGGCATGGATCGAGTCACAAAGAGCAGTAAGTCTTGTTAAGCCCGTCCCTCTTTCATCTCAGCCTTGTGACATGCAAGTCTTCCATGCTGACAAGAAGGGTGGCCTTTCCCCCTTGCATTCTCAGACTGCGCGGGCACAGCCCCACCGCAGAAATGAAAGCAAACGTGCACTGGGGCCTAAGAACTTTCAGTGCGAGGGATTCGGCGAACGTGGGGCGAAGTTTCGATGAGCCGACAGGGAGGATCAAGGAGTCTTTATAACAAACGCTGGAATGGTCCTACATACCTCACATCATCGTTGCACATGTGCGCGAAGAAGTGAGGAGCTAACGAAGCCCACTCGGACCCGCTCGCTAAGCGCCCTGACGCTGCGAGCCACAGCACACTCGTGCTTTCCAAGGCAAACAAAACCTCAAAGCGCCATAGTCTGGGTTGATGAGAAAAGAGCGACTGCTCAGCCTTCGTTTTCGAAGGCTCACAAAGACTGCTGCTTCTTTACGATGCCTGCAAAGTGGAGACACGAACATTGGTCAAGTAAATGGTCGATATAAAGCGCGGCCGACGACAACTTTGCTCGACAGTTGTCCCAGCTATGCCCATAATCTTCCCATGCTGAGCACATCTACACCTAAATGATCCTAAATTTGATGCGGCAGAGGGAATGCACAGAATAAATACAACGGAGTTGAAGTCTCCTTACACTGTGGCTGACAGAGGCAAGGACACTTCTTGGAAGCGGTCTTCCAAAAGATGACCGCCACCTGCCACGACGAGGGAGCAGCTCAGCAACGGCTACCCTCGACCTTTGCTGGTCCTCTTCGAGCTCCTTCTGCAGGTTCTCGGAGTTCACGGCCTGCAGTGATCTGCCGTCCGCACCTGTTCGACCGTTGCGAAGTTCCAGCCTCCACGATCGGTGTGTAGTTGAAACTGGGCAATCTGCTGTCCAGCAGCTGCCTGCGTCAAACAGCAGCCAAACCAGCCTGCGTTTCTTAAATACTGCCCGAGCTTCCCGTGTCCTCTGCAGCCGCGGCCGCAGCAGCTGCAACAGCGAATCGGAAGCTCCGTTCTGTCAGTGTCAGGGGCTGCGGGGTGAGTGCTGCAACCGACATCCATACTAGTACCAAATCTTGGACTCAATGCCTCATGCTGCGTGGCCCGTGCAACCACATCATTGATCCAGCCAGAGCCCGGCCTGTCGTTAGGCTGCCGAAGGACTGATCGCTAAGGACTTTGGCAAAGACAGGGGAAGAAGCTGCCCCAAAGCTCAGTCTTCGTCTTCGGAGGTGGTAGCTTCGCTTTCTCGCCGTCGAGGTTGTCCTGTGCCTAAGTCCACTTTTGTTGCGTTCGCCCGCTTCACTTGGCAACTATCGGCCCGTCAGCAATGCCTTCTCGTCGTCCGCTGCGCGGAGCAACCCCCCCAAACCTGCAGCAAGCGACATCTGCAGTTTTCCCGGTTGCTTCGTCCCGTCCTCCGGCTCCGGCTCCGACCTTCCTGCAAAGCAAAGCATATTTTCGGAAGCAGACCCTAAACAGCACTGAGGCTTCCGTCGGCTCCTGCAGAGGGCATGGAACATGGCGCTTGCGGGAGTGTCCACATTTGCTACACACAGATGCTTTGAGGCTTCTCCTGTCGTTGCTGCGAACTTTCTTAAATTACAGTACTCTGTGCTGCATTGCTTCAGGATGCTGCAGGAGCAGTCTCGGCAAGTCCCAGGACATCAAGGTGGCGGTGGGCGAGATGGTGAAGCTGAATCTTCTGCCCTTATGCACACCGTTCATGTTTGTTTCCGCCGGATCCATGCAACGCTTTCATGCTCGGTGACGCTCAGCGGGTACTTCTTGAAGCCATTTCCTGAGTTTACCCGCATGGTGTTCGCCCTGAGTGCTCCTCTGGCATGTTACTGGCATCACGGTCTTACAACTCCCACCTTGGACTAACAAAATGTGGGAAATCAGCTGTTCCTACATCGGTCCGAGCATGTTGCATGTGCTGACAGTGCAATTGTCGATCGGGCCATATCGGGCCCATCTCGAGATGCGACATTGCCGCTGGAACCAAAGCAGCTCAAGGAAGTAATTCGACACACTCCGCGTCTTGTGTTGCATGGCAGATCATGGCAGGCTGGAGACCGATGACAACGAGGCAGGACGGAGCTCAATCCAGGAACACTAAGATGGCAGCTCGCCATGGCTACGAAAGAATTTGAGACGTCAACGGGGGGCCGTCGCGGCAGACAAAAGAAACCTTGCTGCGAAGTTGAGGGAAGAGGATCACTTCCTATTTTTGCCTATGAACAAATCCACGTCTTGCAGCTCCAGTACACTCCATGACGAGATTTTCCATGATCGTCTCCTGCTCGACTGCGGCACTGAAAGGATACTAAGGATCACTGCTGCTGGCCTCAAACTTTGCACGGTGCAAGTCGGCAGCTCGAACTATGCTGCCATGCTCATGCAGCCTCCAGGACGTTGGTGACGGTCAAGATCGGTCAAGTTCACCTCTCAAATGTAATGGATTCTCAGAAGGCGTGTTTGACTGTGAATCCCGCTTTGGTTGCACTGCTTCAGCTGATTGGTTGATATTCTTTGACTCTCTATCATTGTATCCAGCTGCTGCTGGAGAATTGCTTCGTTTTTGGCGAACGTGTCATTATGTGCATTCTGAGCTTGGTTTACATGATCAATAAACTACTTTGAGGTCATTGCCGTCTGAGCAATCGTTCCATCTTTCAACCCTTCCTGACGCAAGGGGCCCATCACCTGCGTGTGGCCTTCATCTCCGGAGGAGCCAAACCCTCCTTCGCCTGGAACCCAACAGTCAACGGGTGCTGCCCCTTGGGGCCTGCAATGCCAAGCGAGGACACGCCGATGCCAAGCCAACCCATCACGGGCAAGCCGCCACCTGCGGGCGTTGCAGTGCCACGGCTCTCACCACCTCGGCGAAGCCTTCCAACACAGAAATCAGCACCGACAGCAACTTGCGGGTTGTAGTCACCGCTGCGCAGACCACACCTGACGGCACGGCATGACATGTGCTACTGCCCGCCGGGCCAAAGCATGCCAAGCAGCTGTCGAAGTTTGCAATTGTGTAGAAGACGCTGGCCTGAACAGTGGTCGGTTTTGTCAGGAGCTGGCCTTGTGCGATACTCGCAGCGTGCCTGGCCCAAGGCCCCACATATGGAGAATTGAACAACTTGCCGAGCGAAATTCGGGTTCGCGAAGCAGAATGTCAGACCCTGCAAGCTGACACCGATGTATCAAGACGGCACGGTACAATAGGCCGTGAAGAAATCTGACAAAGCATGCCAGATTCATGCTGCCTCGCGAAGCTCTGACCGAACTGCGAAGAGGCTAGATGTGACTGCCTCGTCTTTTCAGCAGCTAACCAGTGCTTTGTAAGATGCCTGAAACACGACTACGGGAAATGCACAGAATTTCAGATTCAGACAAGCGGCCATGTACAGGTTTGTCCAAAACATAAGGTCCTTACAGGGCCATGTTTCATGAGCCAAGTACTATCAAGTACTGTTGCTGCTTCGCGCTGACGTCTGTAACAGCACGTGCTACTGGGTGGTGTTGCACGCAGCGTGGCCGATGTGCCAACAGCGGTGTAAGGCCACGGCGTACGGACGGACCTGCTCAAGAGATGATGTCTCAGCACTCGATTTCTTGGAATGGCGCGCCTCCTTGTATTCCTTCCGGCACTGAACCTTTGTTGCACTTGGAGTGCTTGCATGCACGCATAGCGGTGGCTGCAGGCGCACCTTCAGTCTTTGCTGGACGCCGCTAACCACTCCTCATGCTTCTCTCAGATGGCATTGCAGTTGTCAGACGAACATGCATCTTGTTCCAAGGGGCCATCGAAACACAAAGCGCTCATTATGAAGAGCAGCCCGATCGTGGTGCTGCCGCCGACTTTCTCGAAGGGATCACACAGACATTGGCATTGGCATTGCACATGTGGCAGCATGTGGCAGCATGTAACAGCCTGTGAATCAGCAGCTACAGTAGATCTGTGACTGTGGTCTCGACCTGCCTTGCTTCGTCCTTCCGAGAGCGAAACGATACCTAGGGCAGGAATTTCTGAAGCAATGGTTAATCATGACTCATCGCAGCTCGAGGTCAAAGCAGGAGTTTGGCACCTCTTGACCCTTGGCACTTCCACGCACCCGACATCGTACCAAGATCGAACCACGCGACTTGTCCCGGCAACGATGGCTAGAGCTTGCAGATATTGGCGAAGCGTAAACTTGGCTTGTCCCAAAAGAAGGGATCCGATCCTGAACGCGAACAGAAAAGCACAGAGAGGAAGCAGCTTTGCCGGTCATGTCAAAGTGAATTGGAGTCCAGGCACATAACCGGAAGCATCTTTGCAGACTTGGCCATGGTGGCCACAGGAAAGGACAGGCCGGCGGCAAGAGCAGCACTTGTGCAGTACTTCCTGAGACGGACAGATCCGGGAGCTGCCCGACACGCCCTTTAGTTCTGGGCTGGATCTGCATCGCCCGCAAAACCAATCTTTCTGCCTAGAATCGAAAGTACTTGCCCGACGCCTGAAGCGACTAGAAGCGCCTCCACAGCTTGGTCTGATATCTGTCGACTGACTTCAGAGTGTAGCGCAGGACAGTGCTCGTCACCTGAGGTAAGCCAACCGTGCTTCCCTGGATGCACCGCCCGGCGTAGCCTGGCAGAAGCAGGCTATAAGCTCCCCCTTCAACAAGTGTGTCACTTCCTGTGCAAGGCAGAACAGCGGACTCCAGGCGGACTTCACCCTTTTCACTGGCCTGCATCAGGCTTCTCACATGGTCGGTCCCTCTCAGTGGCTTTTGATCTTGGCCTCTCGTGTTCTCAGCTCTGGCAGCATAAACCAGCGGTATGCCGGCACAACCACGAGGCACAGGAAGACAGCCAAGTAAATGTCGACGTTGGGGCCATCCATGACGTGGCTAATGGCATGCATGCCCAGGGCAAAACACACCTCCCAGCTGATGCCGATGAGCAAGCCGTGGGCAAGGATGATGTGGTTAATGATGTGTAGCGTGGATTCCGAGCCGCTGCTACCTTTCATTGCATCTGCCACTTTGTCCAGGCACAGTAACATCAAGCATGACAAGGCAGAGACGACGAGCGCCACAATCAGGTGGCCAATCAGATGGTGCTCAAGCTCTGGCATGAATGCATTCAACATGGCGACGGCACACGAGAGCATGCCCCACGAAAACATCCTTAGGCGCGGTAGCAGCACAGGTATTCACGCGAAACCCAACAATAAAACAAGCCTGGTGATGGCACTCAGGAGTTATCACAAGTAATCATCCAAGTGTCATGATGAATGTCTCGGTGAGGAGCAGCAATGCTCGCACGCGAATATCATCTTCGTCTGCCACATTCTGTGCTTCGTCGAGCTCGTGTGGGGAGCCGTGCTGGTGGCTCTCATGACCGTGATCGTGACCATGCCCGCCGAACAGCTTCTCCTTCAACTTGAAGGTTGCAATGCCTAAGATCATGGAGCCGATGGAAACTGCAAACAGAACCATCCAGCCACGGTGCCAATCTTCCGAGGGGACATCGGCATAGATATGGAAGTGAGTGTCGGGCATCGCACCAATGGCAAAGAAACTGATGCTGCGGACGGAAGCGAACGACAGCCCCAGACAAAGTGACTCGTTCTCGGCTTCCTCCGAGATTTCATCCCAGAGTGCCTCCCCGCGGCTGACAACTCCGTCGTCCATTTCACTGATTTTCTTTCTGATGAGTGCTGCTAGGCGGTACAAAAGTGTGACCAGCACAAGAGCGCCTGGAACCACCAGCAAAGACATGAAAGGTGAGCTGGCGAAGGGTTCAGAGTCCTGCAAAGAGGCCAACGTCGCAACGATTGCGAAGCCAGCACAATGCGCCACCAGACCGCCCCAGCATTTCATCGCAACCTCCCGCTGCTCCCAGAGTTCCTCAAGCTCTCGGCGCTCCTCTTCGCTTGAAGCCTCCTTCGGCTCCTTCGCCTCCTCGCCAAAGGCACCGCTCAAGGCAGCAGTCACAAGTTGCGAGCAAAGGAACCACATGATGGCCAAGCCAAAGCAGAGTCCAGCATTGCCCCAAGCACCCATAGGTATGTGAGAAAACAAGAACCGCTTTGCCACCTGGTTGACAACATCAGAAGCAAGCACGGCAATGAAAATGCAAGCGGACAGAGTGAGAATGTTCCAGCTGTAGTATCTGATGTCAAGATCGGGATGTTGCACAAGATAGAACATAGCCATGACAAGTGTAACACCCCCGATGAGCATGTAGGATGCTGTCAGCGTCTTCTCATCGGGAGCATGGCCATGCCCTTCGTGTGCATGACCCTCTTCTCCGTGGCCATGTCCACCGTCAGCGTGTCCCCCATGCCCGGCGGGGTGCCCGTGTCCATGTCCGTGATCGGAATGCTCATGGCCTTGCTCTGCATGCGCTGCCTCGGTCTGGTGGGAAGACTCCTCGTGTTCTGCGTGCCCATCATGAGCTCCTTTCTGGCCATGCGATACGTCGCCGTCTTCATGTTGCGCATGATCATCGTCCTTGTGTGCGTGCTCCTGGCCGTGTTCCTGGCCATGACCGTGGTCTGCCGCGCTCTTGCTTTCAACTGCGTGTTCTGGCTCTGTCTCAGCATCGTCATGGCTCTCATGCCCATCACTACCGTGATCTTCATGCTCTTTGACGGTGCTTGCCGACTCCTCGGCTTCATGCTCAGTCTCAGACTCGTGCGAAGACGATGCCTTGTTCTGAGGAGGATCAATGATGCGCACGATCACGCCATCCTTCGGGTGCTCAACATTTTCGACTTTCAGCTCTTCCTTCACAGTTCGCACCGTGATGTGAGTTTTGGCGCTGTTTGAGAGCACCGGCAGCCATGCTAGGAAGATGAGGAACCTAGCCATGCTGGCTATGGTCACCGAACTGATGACCTGCTTCGTTTCGCACAAAGGTCTTTGAACCTATATGCTCTTGACCGGAAGACTGGAGTGAAACACCGAGCATGCCCAAGCATTACACAAGCCCGTGGCCAGTAACACGACATGACGCCGCCACCTACTGCCACGTTCATCAAAGTATCCGCCAACTGCAGAAACCACACTGCAGTGAACCTGAGCCAACCGCGGTTTGTCTTGACAGTTGAACAGCTGACGACGGATTCTTCCAAGGTGCCTCTGTCCGGTTGAAGACTTGAACTTAAAGATCCTTTCTTGAAGCCTCGCATGTAATGCCACGCAACCCCTGCATTTACAAGCACCAGAAGAACAAGTAGACACATTCTCCAGATAGGTTTTTCAGACTGTCATGGAGGCAGGCATTGCAAACACGAGCTACCCGCCGATAGCAACGAATCACACAGAACATACGGCAGACATGCTCAAAAGCTGTACTGGTTTTAATTAATGATGGACCAGCCAAGGCAACACAGTTGCATAAATCTTTCTTGTAAACAATTTTTCTAGAAAATAGGAAAACGCTTCTTAATGAACTGTGAAATTTAAAATTGAAGTCAATGTTTTTGTGCGTGGTGTTAAATAAGTGTCCCCGCAAAGTCAAACCGAGAATTGCCTTCATCGAAAAAATGCCGTCGACCTTAATTTGGCGAAACGAAACTGCTGCTGACACTGCTCCTAAGCTGCTTCGGAGCCCGGCCGAAACTGCCACACAAGAGTTTAGCGGAAGTTTCGACCACACTTCCACTGGCAGTTTTGCACCGAGTTAGCTTCAAAGTTAAATTCTGCCGTCTCCACCTGAGCTTCGCGGCAAATGAACTGTCTATTTTCTACGCCTTCATTCTAACTATGAAGTCAAAGTCCAAATCGTCCGAAGCTAAAAATTGCCGTTTTGACTATTTCCCGCATTTTTTGTCTTAGCTGGTCCATTGGGTAAGACGCTGCACTGAAGCATGCTTGATGTGGCCACTGAAGAACGTTTCACAAGCTTGGAACGGCAGTGAGTTCGGTGTTGTGTGGTCCATACAAAGTGTGCTCCATCTTCAAGCCCTACACAGATCTGCTCGGAAGCCTCCCATACCAAATGAAGAAAAAGTAGATCCCAGCCTCAAAGTAGCACCAGCAGCCAAATGTGCCATGAGATTCTGTAAACACGCCACCATCGAAGCAAATGCAGCTCCAGCGGTGACTAAGGCCACGTCTGCTCCTTTGAGCAACTTAAGTCGATCCGGCGGCGCCTCCCTAGTGCTGTGGCCATTTCCTTGTCGGGCCTGGCCTTGCATCTTCAGATCCGCGTTTCTGTCGGAGGGCGACTGCTCGACTGCTGAAAGTGAGCACGTGCGAGAATGGAGGCCTTCCTGGACAGCATCAGGCAGGCCCATTGCAATCTGCACCGCTAACCTCAAACTAGCATTCTGCTTGAACTATCAGGGCAACTCACTGGGCATCAGGACAGTTGTTCGAGGACGAGCTCGATTGCGAACATCCTATGAAGTTTTGGTGCTTGTCTTTCCAAGGGCCTGCGACTGCAAAAATGCAGTACGATGTGGTAGTGTGAGATGGATGTTGACTGCACCAAGCTGACAGCTGTCTGGATGCGCGATCAAGGAGCAGATCATCGGAGCACGGCAATACAAGAAGCATCTCTCAAAATGCACCAGTGATTCCTAGCTTCTTTCGCATCTTTGCCTCTGCTGCCACCCACTGCTATGCCCAAACAAGCGATCACGTCGCAGGCTTCGGCTGGTGGCTGGCGGCTGGATATCACTAATGCATGTTGCGACCCAGTTCAGGAGATGAGACGACATCTTCTGACATCCCGATCCAGTGCAGAATCGAGCCTCCGGGACAGCATCGTTACATTGACCATTACATCCTGTAAACATCCCTCCGTGTATTTTCAAAGATGTTCAATGATGCGCACACACGGATACATAACTTCTTGGGCGAATCAATTCAGGTTCTATCAATGTAGCACCTCCGTTAAGCAGATGATTCTCTCCAGTGCGAAGTTTCCCGGTTCTGATTCACGACGCTCTGACTGCTCAGGCCGTCCTCCAACATGTCAAGTTTGCTTCTTCAGATTGTTTTTTAATTCTCTTGTCGGTGAATGGTCCAATTGTTCTTGAACTTCATGCTAAGCGTTTTTGTAATTCTGAATGTAGTTCAAACTTAACCTTGTGTATCATTTAGATCATGTGCCGTCTTTGCTAAGCTTATAAAACCTTCTAAGCTTCTAAGCGCATTCCAGCTCAAACTCAATGCTTCGTTAAGCCATCATCCTGTATGTTAGTAGTTTCAATGACTCACAATTTATTGAATACGGATTCGTACGCCAGCGCAGATCCCCAAACAGCGAACGAGCAACCCGAAGACCATGACCACGATGACGAACCCGACGACGACGAGCGCGACGAGAAAAAAGATACCTCGAGTCGAGGAGACCACCAAGAGACCAAGATACTGCAAGTGAGCCTGAAGTTGCTGCAGAGGACGGAAGCTGCAGCTGATCCGCAGGCACATGGGCTTGATGCAAAAAGTCGAGCATTTGAGGCCCCGGAGGACATCGATGAGGAGATCGACCCGGAGACGATGGAGGAGATCCACGCACTGGAGTCACGTTTAGCGGCCCTGCGCGACACGCCGCCCGGGAAGTGAGCAGGGGGTGCATGGGCATGGGAAAGAGCCCCATCTTGGGGCCCACGACACGCACTACGAGCACTACAAGGACTTCACGTCGTGTTCTTCTGGTTTGGAAGACTCTACACACAGGGGAGAACCTCGCGGCTGAGGGGCTCAACAGCAAGGACCTCTCGTTTTCCACCGCGGCCAAGATCCTGGCTGAGTACGACCTTCCATGGGGAACCAGGAGATGGAGGACGCTGCAACCTCGGCTACTACACCTACGGCACCTTTAAAGGGGTGAACAAGAAAACGACTCAGTGGCCCAACTTGACCGCCTGCCTAAATTTCCTGCTGGAGCGCCTTGGCCCCGAGGCGCGGAACAAACGAAGCCTACATGGGCCTCCTTGGCTCTCCTGCACAATAATTGCCCTGCAGCGATCCACACCGACAAGAACAACCTCATAGGGAACCGCAACTTCATCGGAGCTTCGGTACCGGCAACAGTCGCAACATGCAGTTACAGGAACCTGGAGGAGAGTTTGGCGACGAGATGGAAAAGGCCAGGAGGTGGAAGGGAGACGTTCGATACGCACGAGCAGGGCGGGGACTTCGAGGCCCGAGCACCTTTAGGCTAAGTCTTACTAGAGACGAGAGGGGTTGTGGCTGCCAGTGGCAGCTGTAGTCTCATCTTTGAAGCTGTCAGATACCCCAGACCAGTAGACCATCAGGAGGCAACCACCACGAGGAGTTCACCAGCGGACCCCAGGAGACCTAAATGCCTGCCCCCAAATACTGGTGGATTCAGGACCACGGCACGCGCAAAGTACAGGCGGGATTCAGAAATTCTGGGGGGAAGGCCTTCCTCCAAACACACCGATCCAAGACCACAGTCAAATTAGCCAAAGTCTCTTCCCTGGCAGGATTGAGGTGCACGGTGCTCACGCTTGCCGCGATAACATACTGACCGGCGAAAATCATTTCCCTCCATGCACAACTGCTTTCAACGTGGTGCAGGCCAATATATTGGAACTTAACAAAAAAATCTGGCTGTCCGGGAATGGTTGTAAGCGGATCCTTTGCACAAAACGGAATTCCAGCGCAGCAAAAACCACCATGCACATGATGTTTGCGTTTGGCGCGCGTGCGCGCGGGGAGCATGGGTGGCGTGGGTGATTCCCGGCCATGCCGCCCGTGCCGCCAGGCCCCCTACAATAGATACCTGTGTTCCTTCATCCAGTTATGTCCGTCTTTCACCCTCTCTCGCTCTCTCCTCTCTCTCTTTCTCCGTCTCTCACACACACATGCGCGAAGGCCGAACGCACTGGACACAATGTGCCGCTAAGTCTCAAATCAGTTGTTGCACTCATTTCAAATCAACATCCACATGCAAACTCATTTTTGACCACAGCACCATCTGCGGAAAATATGCGCCAACAGCTTTTGGGTGCATGCGTCAGGCTTCTTGCAGGTACGTAAGAAGGTGCCCCTTTTTCATATCACAGCAAATCTGGACGGTCTTTGTTCGGCAGCGCAATCCAGAAATGCTCGCTGCCCCGCTGCATTGGCGCAGGTCGAACTTCGCAGCACGAACGGCTTTCAGCAACTGAGCACAGACAACTGACTCAGAGGCAGACGCAGTCGGCACAACTGAGAAGCACTTTAGCAGCACTTTGTCGCTTAGCGCACGAAGAAGCCTCCAGTCTCCATAACTTTAATTCCACGGTACAAGAGCTCATGAACTGGGACGTTGAGTGGATCTCGGTCTGCATGGCGTTTCTTACGACTTGAAGCTCCAGGCTGGATGCACTTGAAAGGGGTCAGTCCATGCACCGCTGTAGAAGCAGAACCATGACAGTCATCTGACGGGGCAAGTGATCTCGGAAGCATCAGAGGAGGATTGGCAACCGGGGTCGAAGGCGAAGTCGTGGTCGGAGGGGCCGGAGGTCCGCCGGAGGTGAGGGCTGCTGCCATGTGTGGGACACATGGCAGCATAAGGCTGGTACCGAGACCGGCCCCAGTTTTGCCCTGACTTGCCATAGCCGCAGCATTCCAGTTGAAGCCACCAAACTGCTCGCGCGCATCTCTCAGCGGACCCAGCAACATCTCACAGGTGCAATCACAACGATGCAGACCTATGATTTTCAAACGCGGCACTCAGATTTCAGGAAAAGTACGGGCGAAATCACTCGCCAAAAGGCGCTCAAAGGCTTCAGGAACAAAGCATGAGCTTCGAAAAACCCAACGGCCGTCCTACAATGCAAACCGGTCGTGCTGAGCGGACCCCGCCATAGCGGGCCGCTGTGCCGAGGCTGTGGTTTGCGTCAGAGGTACGCGCGCGAGCATAAGAAATGAGACCCGTGGTGCCCGAGAGAGATCTGTCACCTCGTACGCGAAGGCCTGAAGAGCAGGGAGCGGAACTCTGCTTCTTGCTCTGGTATACCGTTGAGGTACGCATGCACTCCCACAGTCACCACAATGGAGACCTGGGGCGAATCTTTCAAACAAAGAAGATTCTCACAATTCTTGACGCGAGTCAGCGGAAGCGTCACGTTCAATCATCGAGAGGTCCTCTGGCACCTCTTGCCAGATGATCGCAACTTTGAGTCAATGCCGACCCTGCATATAGAGTCCGGGAAAAGTCATCTTCGGTTGACAGACTCAGCTCCAGAGCAACCGCTGGGAGACGCGGCAGCTTGAGGGAATGCGGTTGTGGAACACACTGACAAAATGTGTCACCAGGCCTCAAATCAGCTATTGCACTCACTCCAGAGTCAACATCCACGTGCAAAATCACTTCTGACTACAGAATCATCTGTGGACACTGTGAACCAACAGCTTTTGGGTGCACTTGGGGAGCTTTTTGCAGGTGAGTGAAGAAGGCGTCCATTCTTTGTATCACCAAACCTGGACGGTCTTTGTGACGCAGCGCAATCCAGAAATGCGCGCCGCCCCCCTGCTCAACTTCACAGCGTTGCCTAAACTCGTCGTCTGCTTCGAGACATTGCTGCACCTTGAGACTCTTGGAAACAGAGTTGGACACACACACACACACATGCACATGCACTTCTCTCTTTTTGCTTTGCTCGGGCTGAGAGTCTGGGGTAGTCCCCTGACCCGCGCTCCAGGCGCTCCCCCATCCACCATTTAGACAGAAGGGCTCGGCTGTACCTGTGGCCTGATGTGGCCTGTAAGACCCAACTGAAGGGAAAGTGGAGGCAGGTAACAAGTCTGCACATCCACCGCTACATAGCAGTTAAGCTGGAAGAAGACATCGGGTACACTCTGTGTCCCTGCTCTGGTGGTCTACAAGGCTTGTCGTAACAAAGTAAAAGGCAATAGGAGGGAAAAAAACATGCCTTAGTTACTGGCCCCGCAGTCCTTATAACTTCTACCTGCTGCGGGCACAGCACTTTGAAGGTACGAGGAACTGAAAGTGTGCCGTCCTGAAAGCATGAACTATGTATGAGGCCCGATGCCGAAGTACGGGAACTCGGCATTGCTCGGTCGCCTTTCTTGGTCGGTTAGCGGCTGCGGGTCCCTCTCTGTCTCGCTCTGTCTCTCTTGCTCTCTGTCGCCTACGCGGCCCTCGCGAGTCATACCAGCCTGTTGAGGTCTTCCAAGCTGAAACGAACCTGGGCGATGAAGTCATCAGAGCCTTGGGAGAAACAGGGGTTTCGGATTCGAAACTAGTGCACTTGCTTAGAAAGCTGAATAATTTTGAAGACGCTTGGGAGGGGTAACTGCGGGGCAGTCAAGGTATGCCGATATTGACTGCGTCCGTCGGTGACCCTATTTCCCCGACAAATTTCGACAATATCAAACAACAACTTTCATGAAGATGTCGCCAGGAATCGAAAGCACGATGCATCCCAGTATCCTTGCAGGAAGTGCCAGAGGCATCAATCTCGTGTGGATGTGCTAGTGGGGAGGTGCCAGCGAATTTGTACAACACTGCTCTGCATTGACACTTGATAGCTTAGCAAGCAGGCACGGTGTCGATCGACATGTTTATTCCGTTCTGTCATGTGGTAAGCTCCTGTGGCTACCTTGGTGCATTCACCGTGCTTTCCAACTTGCCACTGCACTGCTGGGCCCGCTTCGTCGACAGCAAGGCATTGCTCAGCTGTTGGCACAACCGAACTGCTTGAAGAAGGCACCGGGAGGACTTGCTGCAATGCACCAGTTGGCGAAAACTGTGAGTTTCAAAGTCTTATAACTCTTGGCGGAGAGGCGGGAGGGGTGTCGAGATCTCAGAGTACATTTTGCGCAGAATTTAGAAGTTAGTCTTCTTGGCATAATTGTAGTAGCAGGTGATGACAAGTTCCTAGTTGAAAAACCGTGGACGGGACAGGACCTCTGCAATCAGGTTTGGCAACAGACTGGGAGGACTTTTCGTGTTCCCAGCAGACTACATGCTCTTTACGCTTGATGGTCAGGATTATTATGAGAGACAGGTTGCACGCGCGCGCGAGACACGTCTTGTTTGTTCTTGTATGTGCCCGTTACCGCGTGCCTCACGGTAGCTGCGATGGTTCGTCTGCTTGAACTGGTTGCTGCCATTGTCTTCTTGTCCACCACACAACTCGAGCTTGGACATTCCGTCATGACTGAAGTTCGATGAGCCCCGTGATGCTTGCTTCTGGCCCGGGCTTCCATATCTAAATGATGGTGCATGCTTTAACTGCAACTGCGGCAATCATTCAGGGAGAATGACGAACTGTTGAGAAGCGGAGCTCATGCTTTCTCGGCAAAGGTGTCTCTACGTCTCTCTACGTCTTATGTCGTTATGTGCATATCCCCCCCCCCAAAAAAAAACATATGATACGAGGGGCTGATGTGCCTGCACCATGCTATGCTTATGCTGAAGTGTCCCGCTGCCCCTCCGAATACGCAGAACTCAAGCGTTCTAAGTCTAAGCTTCGCATTAGCCGTGGTTATGCCCCTTGCCTTCCCGTTCCTCGCACCAGTTCTTCTCAACAGCATGCCGTCTATCCGGACAGTTGCAGTCTCCTCACCCCTCACCTCTACCGCCCCACTTCCCGATGTGTGGTTCGATCCGGGAGTGCGACATGGATTCTGCAGATCCCAAACCCGCTGAGAAGACAGAGGAGGTGCAACGATGGTTGCTCTCAGTCTGCCGTCGCTCTACTCCTTCCCTCGCGTCTTACTGTTGTGGGAATGCTGGCAATTTCTCTCTTCGAGGGGGCAAAGGTTTGCTCTGTCAGCTGATGTCATCCGTCAGCCGTCGAGCTGATGAGTCAGCGATCCGGTGCAGGAAAAGAGGCATCCTACTCCTCCTCTCCTGCTACTGCTACGACTTCTACGACGACGACTACTACTACTCCTCCTACTCCTGCTACTGCTACGACTTCTACGACGACGACGACGACTACTACTACTACTACTCCTCCTACTCCTGCTACTGCTACGACTTCTACGACGACGACACATACTACTCCTCCTACTCCTGCTACTGCTACGACTTCTACGACGTCGACGACGACGACGACTACAACTACTACTCCTCCTACTCCTGCTACTGCTACGACTTCTACGACGACGACGACGACTACTACTACTCCTCCTACTCCTGCTGCTGCTACGACTACGACGACGACGACTACTACTACTCCTACTCCTGCTACTGCTACGACTTCTACGACGACGACGACTACTACTACTCCTCCTCCTACTCCTGCTACTGCTACGACTTCTACGACGACGACGACTACTACTACTACTACTACTACTCCTCCTCCTACTCACGACGACTACTACTACTCCTCCTCCTACTCCTGGAGTAGGACGACTACTACTACTCCTCCTCCTACTCCTGCTACTGCTACGAATTCTACGACGACGACGACGACGACGACTACTACTACTGCTACTACTGCTACTACTACTACTACTACTCCTCCTGCTACTGCTACGACTTCTACGACGACGACGACGACTACTACTACTCCTCCTCCTACTCCTGCTACTGCTACGACTTCTACGACGACGACGACGACTACTACTACTCCTCCTCCTCCTCCTACTCCTGCAACTGCTACGACTTCTACGACTTCTACGA